TGCATCACTTGCACCACATCGCTTCCTTCACATCACGAATGCACTGCAGTGTTCTTCGTTTGCGAATTTGAACATGTGCTGTCTGTATATGTATGCATATGTACATGTGCTGTCACAGCTGCTCAGAAGTTCGGTTTTGTGATTCGGCCCACCCATATCAAAACTTTTGTGCATCCATGGCAAGCAAGCAGACGGCCGAGCAGCCGATCAAAGAGAAGTCCCAGGACTTTGAACAGATGCAGAACGAGCTGCCGATGGACTCCCAGGTGCTGTTGCACTACGACGAGGATGCTGATACAGGCGAGGACTCCCAGATTCCAGAAACACTTCAGGATATGGAAGGTGTGTTGTATCGTCCTGGTTGGAAGAACCTTATGGTCTCAATGCAAGACAAGCAAGCCCCCGAGATCCACGGCACCGGCACCCAAAGCACTTTGCCTCCTGTGTTGCAGACGGATGAGACAACAGCCCCTGCCAAGAAGAAAGCCAGGCTCCTTGCTCCGGACCAGAGCTCCGGGTGATGATCGCATCCCAATATGTACCCTGAGGGTCCAGCCTACCAGTTGGATTTTTGTGTGTATACCAGGAGTCGCCTGTACAGGTTCTGCTTTCCTGAACATACCTGAGAGCAGCTTGCCCGGGGAATGAAGAAACAGACCGGGAGAGACCCACCTGTCGAGAGCTGCAGTGTGATGCTGTGGAGCTTGCAGTGCAGCTTGGGCTAATCTATGGTTGGGCACAGGGTACAGCATCTGCCGGTTGAAGTTTGGAGGAAATTTCGAGGAAACTTCCATTGGCTGGGGTCGAAGTTTGATGGAAACTTCTAGGAAACTTCCTGGAAGTTTTGTGGAAGTTTCAATCGAAGTTTTGTGGAAGTTTCACCCTGTTACTGTAAACCATCGAGAGGTATTGCATTTTCAGCTTTAAGCTTCAGTTGAAACTTCCACTGTCCTTTGGGGCCGAGTGGAAGTTTCGAGGAAACTTCCATTAAACTTCCAGTGGCTGGTCCTGTACAATGATGTACTTTCGGGTGTTTGCTTGCTGCCGGCTGATATAAACTTGTTGTCGTGGTAGTGATGCAAACTGCACCTACGAAGGTTTTTGTGGCTCTCGCGATTCCGTGTGCTTCTGTGTTTGTGTCCTTGTGCCCTTGTGCGAGACATGGGAAAGACGTTGCAGGCTGCTAAGAAGGCAGCTGCCAAGAAGTTGCCGACGGTGCAGAAGCAGACAATGAAGAAGCCAGCAGCAGCCGCCTCGTCCTCACAGTCACCACCTGGGCTTATCAACCAGACCATAGATGAACTTCGTGCCGGGGCCACCGCTGAAAAGCGGGACAAGGGCAAAGGCGTCCGCTTTGCCAAAGACAAAGAGTCTTTGCCGGCACATGTGGTGCATCTCATAGAAAAAGAATCCAAAGGAAATCGTGGATTCAAGAGTGCGGTCATAAACCGCTTGTACGAGCGGCGACCCGATGGCTCCCTACGACTGTCGCTGGAGAATCCGATCTTCAGCGAAGCACAGGAGTTGTTTTCCAAGACCTACCACAAGGCCGTTGAGCACAGCTTCCCCGAAACAGTGATGCTCGGTAACCACTTCGGCGGCAACCTGTCTCTGTTCCAGGAAGCAGCGAGGAAGGGAGACATTGTCTCCGCCACCGGGCCCGATGGCAAGACCTACTGGTCCTTCAAGACCTACGAGATCGGCCGCAAGGAGGGGAAAAGTGTGACCCAGAGCCTGAATCAGCAGAAGAAGGTGTCGAAGACGGAAGCCGAGGAGCTCTTGGAGGCATTCAGTTCTGTGAACTGGAAGTTCACAGCGAAGCAATTCGAGAAGGGCATGATTGAGGAGCACGGCGAGATCTCGGCTTCGTCCTTGAACCTCGCTAAGCAAGCGATCCAGAGCCAGGAGAAGCTTTGCAAGGAGGCCAACGTGATCCTCAAGACCCCGGATCGCTTGGACAGCGAGTTCGTCAGGACCCTGAAGATTTTCTATGCGAAAGCCACAGCCCATGTCGCGAACCTGAACCAGCTGAAAGATTTGAACATGATGCCGGATGCCACGAACCCGACCGAGGAATCCATCAAGAAGTACTTCCAGGAGATCGCAGAGCACACCAGCAAGTTCAACACTGAGGTGGAGGTTGGCAAAGCCAAGCTCAAGGCCCAGAAGAACTGAGCCGAAGCTCAGGCACATGTCTTTGTGTGTGTGTGCCTAGATCAAAGATTTTGAGGCTGAAGCCGTGTTTTCCGATGCCACACACTCATGTGTCATGATGCGGATTTTGATGGAGATTGTGTGTGATGGAGCGAAGCAGTGCCTGTGTCTGGGTGTGCTCTCAAGACCTAAAGGTGTATCGTCTCGCGAATGCCAAAACTTGTTCAACTGTGCATGTGAGCTTCCGACTGCACATGTGCTGTGAAGCTTGTGTCTGCACTGTCGCACCAAGCCCTCAAACCCCAAAGTCATTCATGGTGCCAGGTGTGTCTTCAGCCTGTGGCGAATCTACCTTGAGTGTGTGGAGGCTTCTACCTGTGAGAGAACATTTGTACCTGTGAGAGAGAGAGAGAGAGAGAGAGAGAGAGAGTATTTACCTTGTGAGTGTGTACTCTTCTATATATATATATATACCTATGAGAGAGAACTTGTACCTGTGAGAGAGAGAGACAGAGAGAGCTTGTACCTGTGAGAGAGAGAGAGAGAGAGAGAGAGCTTGTGTGCATATACCTGTGTGAGAGTATACCTGAGGGAGGGGCAGGGAGTTCCTATACCGAGAGAGAGAGTTCATCATCAAGGCCACGTGCCGAGGCTTCCACGGGTGCCTGTGTGAGGAATGGGTTATACAAGGGTTTTCGGAGCTGAAAGTGAAGTCGAAGCCTAAACCCAAATACAGCTGTGAACTCATACCCGCTAACTTGTATCACAATCGGCCATAACCTTGCATCCACACAATCCAATAGGCCTTTACTGCCCATCCCAAAATCGCCAAAAACCCTACATTGTACTTTAGATATAGTTCTAGATACGGATAAACAACCCGAGCCCACACATTCTCAGAAGTCGTAGCTCCTAGATTCACCCAAAGCCGCCAAGCCCTTTATATATAGATTCTTTCCTATATAAATCTATATGTATGCGGATAAAAATAAGGATATAAATACCGAACCCATCAGACCTATCACAACTATCTGAGAAGTCGTAGCTCCTAGATTCCACTCCCAGAGCCGCCACATTCCCAGACCTATCACAACTATATATGAGAAGTGGTAGCTCCTATAGATTCCATTCCCAAAGCCGCCACAAGGCCTATATATGGATTCTTTCCTACATATAGACATCTAAATGAATGTGGATAATAATATATTGGTAAAAGTCCCGAACCACCCCCACAAAAGCGCCAAGAATCCGGATAATAATCACGAACCCACATTCCCAGACCTATCACAACTATCTGAGAAGTCAAATAGCTCCTAGATTCCACTCCCAAAAGTGCCAAGCCCTATACACTACCCGAACCCACACAATCTTAGACCTATATTAGCTCTCCTGACAAGTCGTGCCTCCCAGATTCAGGAACAGGTGTGTATACCGCCCGGAACCAGCCCAAACACTCTAGCTTCAATTCTTCCGAACTTAACCCCTAGACCCATCAAACCCTGTTGTGTGACTCGTCTTTATGACCCTATATATAGGCCTCAAGTCTTTGGCAATCCCGTCACAAACCCTGTGTTGAACCTACAACCGACCATCCCTATACCCGCAAGTCATCCACAATACATATACACAATAGGTCTAAACACTGTGGCACACAATCACCCGGCAACCACAAACCAATCCATTATTAAATAACCTCAACTCTCATCCATAAACTTGTTATACTATATATGGATAAACTATACCCGAACCCGCAATCTTCCATAAAACCCTATCATGAGAAGCCGTAGCTCCCAGATTCAACCCCCAAAAGCACCAAGCCCTCTCTCTCTCTATATATATATATATGTGGGTATGGAGGATCAACTACACGAACCCCCAGCTTAGACTTGTCACCCCCTGAACAGTCGTAACCCCCACATTCCCAAAGGGTATATATAATTAGGCCTCAGCACTTTTTGGGATTCCCCGGCAAACCCCAAACCAAGCAACACAACACCCTGCCAGTGTATACCCGTGGTTTGGACAATACCCGTAAACATTTGTGCCTTTCGCCCCAAGTCCCAAAAGCTCCTATATATATAAGCCACATATAGGCAGGGCTTTGGGTTTCTTGATTATTCCTGTATTGCCCTGACCCCTGAAAGCCGAAGAAGCTCTGTGTGCCGCCCCAGAATCGAAGCAGTGCCGGCACTCGCAAGGTAGTCTCTCCATATAGGTTTATCTCTCCAAAGGTGATATATTAGTCTCTCACAGAAGGTACTTATGGTCATCACTCCACACATGGTATATGAGGACTCTCGAAAGGTAGATGAAGCTCTCTTCATGGTGTCGCTCTCCACGGTATCTCTCCACGGTATCTCTCAAAAGGTCGTAAACTCTTGAACGGGTTTAGGGAAAAGGTAGAAAAGCTTCCTAGGACATGATTGTTTTGTGTGGGGTGCTGAGTTGAGAGGTTAATGTTTGGGCTTAGAAGACAGACCTTGGAGGTTAAAGCGAAAAGTTAGCCGAAGAACCATCGAATTAGTAAAAAAGTTTCAGGGTTTCTGGTCTCCGGGCTTTCGGTCTTTCGAGTTTTCAGGGTTATGTATTAGCGAGATGTAGTTTTCGCCCAGCGGAGATGTTTACAGCCGACATGCTGTCGATCGCTCCACCATGGAGGCTTCAGCCAGCAGTGGTGTCAAAAGAAAGCGGGGGGGGCAACAACAGCGGATAGCTCGAGCTGCAGCTGAGGATGTTGCCAAGGAGACCGACAGCAAGCTTTCCGACTACTTGGTTGATCAGATGTCATGGGGCTACATGTCGCCCCAGCAAGTGCAACGAATCGCCGACTTAGCACACTGTGATGTTCAAGCTGCACTGTCAAGCGAAAGAGTGCCAAACAATCTGGAGTCGCTGGCCAATGCAGGTACACGGGGGCAACATGCAAACAAGGGCTGCTTCTTGTTCTTGCTTTTCGGCTTCGGAGGCGGCTTCTCCAAGTTGACTTTGTGATCCTTGAGGCCATTCACCACTTCCATGTCTTCGGGGCCAATGTTCTTGATTGACAAGAGGCCCTTCAAGAAGAGCTTGGGCGACCCGTCGGCGAGCTTCGCAGTCTGAGGCTTCTGCTGCTTCTGTGGAGTCTTCACCTCTTCCACCCCACAGCAGGCACCCTGCGACCCGTCCCAATCCTCCTTCCCAAGCACACTCTGGAACACAGCTGCAGGATCCACCTGCTGAAACTGCTGGAGCTCGGAACAAAGACCCTGCGACTCTGCCAGCTTCTTCGCACCCGGAGTGATCACCTCTTCCACTTCCAAAGAGCTGGTGCTCACACCCTGTGGCACCAGAGCCAAGGACTGGGAGCCTGAGCCTCGTTCAACGGCCTCCTCTGCAACTGCCTCTGCCGACACACCCGTCAACAAAGACAGCACATCCTCGATGGCTCGCTGCTGGCTCGAGTCGGCCTTCCTGAAGAGCCTGGCCTTCGCCAGATCATTCTTCAAAGAACGACAGTGACTGAGAGCCATCCGAATCGTATCGTCGCAAAAGTCCAGAAAGTCCGGGAGGCTTCGCTTCTCCGACTTCTGCAAGCCGATGGAGTTGTGGACTGACTCGAGTGACTCGAGTGCCATCTTATGCTTCTTTGCAGGCAAAACTCCGTTCGGAGCGATTGCGGCATGTTTGCAAAGCAGCGGGCTCAACTTTGCCAAGTGTGCCGCATTGGGAGCAGACTTCCAGGTCAAGCCGGGAGGAAGCTTGAGGTACTCGCCAAAGTTCAACGACTTCTTCGAGTCGGTGCAGGCGGAGTGGAAGTCTTTCAGGCAAGCTTCCAAGTCGGACACACCCAAAGCTGGGTCTGCAACCAAGCGAAAACGAGGCGAGGCCATTCTCAAAGCCAAGGGCTTACTCACACTACCAGAAGCCTCAAAAGGAGGCCCTTTACATAGACTGTACAGCAAAACCTACAAAAGACTGCAGCCACAAACAGGGACACACCGAGCACCCGCTTTGTCTCTCTCCTCCCTCACACAGACACACACAAACAGACCCTCTCACGAGCAGTGCACTGTGTGCAACTTCTGACTGTGTCTGCCTGCAAAACAGAGACGGCGAGCCTGCAAGAGGTCGGTCACCTTGTGGTTTGTCCAGACCTCTCTCTTAACCCTCACCGGTATATCTCGCCCTCTCCACAGGTACAAGTCCTCAAAGGTAAAGCATCTCTCCTTGGTACACACACATATATATATATATATATATATATACATGTATATATATATAAATATAATGTAATCGCAAAAGCAACAAAAAGCACACTCAAAATGGAATGTATATATTGTTATATATATCATGCATTCACATGATATATATATATATATATATATATATACATATATGTGTGTATATGTATATGTGTGTATATATATATATATATATGTGTATGTATGTGTATATATATATATATGTAATATATGTATATGTATATAGTATATGTATATATGTATATATGTATATATGTATATGTATGTATGTATATGTATATATGTATGTATATGTATATGTATGTATATGTATGTATATGTATGTATATGTATGTATATGTATGTATATGTATGTATATGTATGTGTATATGTATATGTATATGTATATGTATATGTATATGTATATGTACATGTACATGTATATGTATATATGTATGTATATATGTATGTACATATGTATGTATATATATGTATGTATATATATATACTTATATGTATGTGTGTGTGTCATGACAAAACAAAATCTTTATTCGCTGTGCTGATGTTCAAAGAAAGAGAAAGATGTAGCTAGAAACCTCGTCTGTTTCCTTCCTTGAAAAAACAAGCTCCTCCAAAAACAAAGCAGTGGAAGTTTCAACCCCTGGCCGAGGAAGTTTGATGGAAGTTTCGACCGCCTGCTCTTTAACTATTTCGGCAGATCCTGCCGAATTCGGCAACCAGTTTACCCCCAAAATAGTTTATTCCAGGTTGCAAGATCTAACTATTTTTAGATAACTGTTGTGTCTGAAAATCTATAGATTTGGCGTATCCTTGGTCATCGAATTAGAGAATATCTATTGAAAACATTTAGAGAAACGCCTTAACTAATTCATTGAATTCTATAGAATTACATGAACTCGAGATTCTCCCCGTTTCTATCTAACCGGGTCTATTGGGTACCGGGGCTGAAGACGATGGAACACCCATGGTAATTAAGTGCACGTCGAGGGCCTACGGGCCGCGGACTCCTCGCCGCCTCTAGGAAAAGGAAAAGGAAGAGGTGTTGGAAAAGGAAAAGGGTATGGAAAGAAAGGTGGAAAGAGCATCAGGCAGGCCGAAGGAAAAGGCTACGAAAGTGACAAAGGAAAAGGAAAAGGTGGACACAACGGACCTGTATGTTTCAATTGTGGTAAGACCGGACATTACTCTTCGGAGTGTTGGTCGCCACAAAAGGGAAAAGGAAAAGGAGGAAAAGGAAAAGTTCGCAATGTCCAAGAGACAGGCGAGGAAGAATGGTATGAAGAGCAACCAAGTTCTTCTACACAGGCACAAGCAAGGCCACCGCAAGGAACAAAAGGAAACGAACAAGTGCGTAGGTTGGTGACAACACCTATGCCAGTGATTGAAGAAGTGTTCGACGACGATGAAGAGTACGTCGATCTTGTAGGAATGTTCGAAGAGATGGTGATGGACTATGCTGCAAGAGCAGTAAAGGTCAACACAGTTGTACTATTGTCAAGCATGGTTGATGAAAGTGATGAAGAAGATTATGAGAAGGATGAACTTCACAAGTGGTACGAAGATCTGCAAGTGGACAAGCAGAATGCCAAGCATGCAAGAGAAAGAGAAAGACTCTTTGGAAGAGAAGTCAGAAGCGCCACTGTTCAGAATGATGAAGAGCCAGAAGTGCATCGAGTAAGAGCTGTTAACTCAAGCTACTCAGAACTCGTTGAAGTTGTGCTAGATAGCGGCGCGGATTGTCATGTACTTCCGCTATGCTATTACAGCGAAGACTTAGGAACAGTTGAGTTCCCAGCTTTGAGAATGGTCATTCAAGATGCTCAAGGCAACAGAATAAGAACCACTGAAACAAGAGCAAGCATCACATTCGAATTCCAAAGAACAGATGGAAGAGTGATAAAAGTGAGAGATTCAGCTGTGTTCGGAGATGTGACACAACCACTATTTGCAGTAGGCAAGTTGTGGAAAGTTGGATGGGGGCTTGATCCCCTAGATCAGTTCAATGCTTACCTGAAGAATGGTTCAGCAAGAGTGCCAGTGAGGTTTGCAAGAAACTCAACAGTGACAGACCTCAAGATTTACAGAGCTCAAGTGAAGGTTGAAAGTGATGAACCACAAGTGATGAAGCTTACATTGATCAAGCAGATGGAAGATGACTTCGAGAAGATGAAGTATCATCAAGGATGGTTTTTCATGTCAGATGGGAAGCCAGCAAGGATCGATTATGACAAGTATGTAACATATGACCCCACACATGACGATGTGAAAGCGTTCAAGTTCAGAACTACTTTGGTATCGAGGTACGATGGTGACAACATCGTATGGAGCGAACTGGAGTTTGTGGAGTGCGCTGAAAAGTGGGAAGGCCGAGAAGAGATTGCGATAGGCCCTGTTTGGGCAGTGAAACGAACCAAACGAATTGTTCCCTGGAGGCCTGGGGGGGTGGGGGGGATGGCAGGGACGCGGCGGCTCTTTCAGTTGTACGCCCGGCCACTGCGGCCTCGGTCCACAGCCATGTTGTCATGCAGTCTTCAGTTCGGTCAGTTGCACGTATGTTCAGTTCATGTCAGACATGTCAGTGCTTGCATGTTTTTCAGTCTCTTTTAGGCATGTCAGTTTTAGTGCATTTTCAGTTGGCCTTTTTCTTTGGCCACGAAACCTTTTCAGTTTTGTCTTTGACTTTTTGAACAATCTCTGTAGAGCCTGTGCGGAATCTGATCTACGCATCCGATACATTCCGGACCAATCGGGAGGGGATCTTAGAAATTTTAGTTACGGGGGGGCGCCTTTCAGGCTTCTTCGCGCAATGGCATTATGTGATGGAGGATAGGCTCTGGAATCTTCTTGAAGATGCCGGCTGCACTTGCGTGAGGGAGCTGCGTTTGCATTTTCAGACTCCTTGGCACCTGGCCTGCTCAGTGGACAGCTTAGAGGATTCAGTGGTCCTTGCCGAGCAGATCATTCCGTCTGCCGTGCCCTCAGACCATAAGAGAGCTGGCGCGCTTATCTGGGGCTGGCTACGTGATCAAACTGACTTGTTGAAGCGGGTGCAAGGTAGGCTAAAGACAAAGGCTACGAGGATTGTGGCGCCTCCTTGTGGTGATGTCTCTCCTGGTGAGGTTTATGCACAATTGGTGAGCGGCAGCCTTGAGTTAACGAAGCAGACCAGTCGGGCTCATGCGAGATGGATCTCGAGTGGGGCTGGCACGCCAGCTGATGCTGAGAAGGCTGCTAGAAAGTTCTGGGGTACAGTCTTGGTGCAAATTATGGTGGAGGCTAAGCTTCCCATTGTGGACATTCCTGTTGAAAGTGAGGAACAGAGGGTACTATATGCTTTGAGGGCTTTGGGTACCCGTCGTTCGAAGACTTTGAGGAATCGGGCTCGAGCCTGGCGCAAGGCTCGGGACTGGATGCTTTCTGTGAAGTCTGTTGTGTTCCCTCGGCGTCCGAGTGACGTTGTGGACTATCTCCTCTTCTTGGAGCAAGAGGTGGGCACCAAGAGCTGTATTTCTGAGTTTATGAGCTCCCTATCTGTTCTGGAGGATGCAGGGCAGGTTCCTTTGGCAAACCAGTTGTGCAAGGACAGATTGGTGGTTGCAGCCTCAAAAGGATCAGAGGCAGAAGTTCATGTGGGGGTCACAAGCAAAAAGCAGGCGGCCCCTTTGTCAGTGGCAATGTTGCTTTCTTTGGAGATCTTTGTGGTATCCAGCGGCAATCCATTATATGCTAGATGCCTCATGTGGGCCTGTCTGGTGTGCGTCTGGGCTTGCATGCGTGTGTCCGATCTGCAAGGAATCGACGTTTCTAGGCTTAGGCTTTTTCGTGATGGGCTTAAGGGCTTCTTAGTCAAAACCAAGACGACCGGTCCTGACAAGAAGGTGGCTGAGGTTCCCTTCTTTGTGGGTCGGGATGTGGGGTTGTCTGGTCGTGATTGGCTTCTCTCGGGTTTCGACCTGTGGAAGGGCCTGGGACAGCTGGACAGGACTTTCTTGGTTTTCCAGTCATCCGAAGATTTTGAGGAGCCGATCTTCAAGTTTGCAAAACCGGAGGTCATCAGCAACTACATGCGTTTGATCTGGCGGCGGCTGAAAGTTCCGTTTCGCAAGGTTGGTGAACACGTGTGGAAATCGAGAGCTGAGGGGGTCCTCCTTGGTGACGAATGTTATCTGTTCTGGACGGGCCATAGCATGCGTCATGTTCTTCCAACCATTGCTGCTGTTCTGGAGGTTCCGAAGGAACGGCGCGATTACTTAGGTCGCTGGCACATTGGGCTGCATCAGAGCTCGGATTACATTCACACCTGCCGTCAGATTGTGCATGACATTCAGCGCCGTGTGTGCGACAAGTTGTCTGGTGGTAAACCCGGGTACGATGAGGAGGAGCTGTTTGAGGAGCTGCGCGAGTGGCTCCTCAATCGGGGTTCGGATCCTGATCCGTGGTTGAAGCTTCATTCTGTGATGCGCACTGTATCTGGCTGCAAGGTATTGAATCAGATTTGGCCTTTATTGGCCGACTTCACCGACGGGACGGACAACGCTGCCCCGGCCCCGCCGGTTTCGAACTTATCCCCGGCTGATAAGCAATCTCCTTTCTGGGTGAGCATCAGCAGGCATTCGGGTCACCGTCGGCTTCACATTAGGAATGGCTGCTGGGTCACTCCGAGCAGTTGCCACCGCTTCGCCGAGGTTTGGGAAGCCGGACCGAATGTTGCTGATAGCTTTTGTAAGCTCTGTTATAAGGAGAAAGCGGATCCGTCCTCGAGTTCGGGGGAGTCTTCATCGACCGAGCTTGGGGAGCCGGCTGAGGATAGCGGGCTTCCGAGTTTTCACACCTGAGATCAGACTGTCAGATTCGCGTGTCAGGGCAAAGGTGAGTCAGTTTGCCTTTGTGCTTTCAGTGCCTTTGCGCCGCGTGCTGTCAGTGCTATCAGTTGCAGTTGCGAGAGCAAATCAGATGCGTGAAATGGGCAGTTTTCTGCTCAGTACTTCACGTGTTGAATCTCAGACGACGTGGTGTTGCAAACCACTTTCAGACTTTCGGTGCTCCTTTGGGGGCTGTCAGATCTCAGTCTTTCAGTACTGTCAGTCTCTTAGCTTTGCGCGACCCGGGGCGGCAATGGCGGCCGATCCTGCGGCACAGCGTCAGTTCTTGAAAGATAATGTCGATGCCGACTTTATCTTCCTTCTGGAAGAGCATGGTGTTGACTTAGCATTGCAGTACGCCATTGGTCAGCACTACAAAAGCATCAGGACGTTTGCTGCTTTTGCCGATGATAGGGGGACGGCTCGGACGGCCATCACTTCGGACTTCGGCGTTCGAGCTGAGAGTGCTGCGGATCGGGCTCGGATGGCATGTGTCATCACTTCTTGGGAAGCTGCAAAATTGATTCGCGAGGAGGAAGCCAAGCTTCGTGCTGAGGCTAAGGTGTTGGGGGTCCAGAAGCCCCTCGTCTCGTCCGATCGAGCGGCTATGCGTGCTGCCTTGGAGACGGTAAGGGGCTACTCTGTTCCAGAATCTGAGGAGCCTGCACCTGAGTACCTCGCACACAAGCTTGAGCAGATTGAGAATGGCGAGCTTACCGCTAGTTATCTTGATGAGGTGATTTCGCGTAAGGAGTCCAATTCTTTGCAGCTTCAAACTTCCCTGGACAATCAGGGCCGTCTTCGGGTTATGCGCCAGAAGCCCAAGGGAAAACTCCCGCAGAACACGGAGGAACTCCGGGCGAAGATCAGGCTCGAGGCTTCAACTTGGGTGATGTTGGCCGCGAAATGCCGTGGTCGTGCTTATTTGCAGGGATTGCAGTTGTCACATTTTGACCGTTTCTTAGAATATCTTCTGGGAGACAAGTGCTACAGCATGCAAGTCGCATCGGCGGCTCCCATGAGTTCTTCGGCACATGCTGATCGTCACACTTTGTCTGTGCCCTGGAATATCTTGCTTCAGTATGAGTTTGAGCTTCGCAAATGGGCTATCAAGGAGGCGCATCGTTCGAGTGCTCCGCTGGGGGACAAGCTGCATGAGGCGACCACCAACACCGAGCTCAAGGAGCTCCATTTTACGTCGCAGGTGGCATTGTCTCGACGCTCGAGCGGCGCCGACCCTCCCCCGCCAAAGTGGCCTCGCAAAGGTGACGGCAAGAAGGGGGACAAGGGCGGCAAGGACAAAGGTGGCAAGGATGGAAAGGGCAAGGCCGATGGCAAGATCAAAATCGGCGAGTCATGGTTCGATCTGGTGTCAAAGACGCCGGATGGGCGTGAGTTGTGCTACGCCTACAACATAAAGCGTGGGTGTCAGGTCAAGGGCTGTCAGCGAGTTCACGCGTGCAGAGTCAAGGGCTGCCAGGCGAACCACCCGGCGTACCAGCATGGCGCGCAGGGCGGCTCCTGACTTCGTCGTGATGCTTTTAATTCAGTTTCGGATTCCACTTCGGGTGTGCGCCCTTCGCTGCGGGTCCTCTACTTGTTTTCTGGTCCCACTCGAAAGGCGGATGTTCGCGCCTGGCTGGAGGTCTTATGCACGTCACAGAACATCCTTTTGGAGATGTCCGAAGTCGACATCTGCCGTGACCCAAGTATGGATCTGTTGGACTCTGCAGTGGCTGATCGGTGCTTGCTTCAAGTCCAAAATTCGGAATGGGACGTGGTCTTGGTGACTCCGCCCTGCAATACCTTTTCTCGGGCACGATGCGTACAGCCGGGTCCTCGGCCACTGAGATCACGTATTTACCCTGCGGGTTTTCCTTGGCTCTCGGACTCACATCGTGCTGCAGCGGAGAATGGCAATCAGTTCGTTTCTTTCTCTTTTCAGATTTGCACAGCTGCGCTTTGGAATTCTATTCCTTTTCTGTTGGAACACCCAGAAGACCTGGGTATGACAACCACCGGTCACACACCGGCATCTATTTGGCAACTTCCAGAGGCTGCTGCACTTTTTACGCACGAGCAGGTCGTGACCTTTGCGATCTATCAGTGCCACTACGGAGCCCACACGCCTAAGCCCACCAGGTTTCTTTCTTCTATCACAGCCACATTTGGCATGCGATTCATGGGGCCTCCTCGTTTTGATTCTGCGGACAAATATGTGGGGCCTCTGCCCAAGTACTGTGGTCACCGACACTCCAATCGTCTTTTGGGTGCCGCCAACACTGCTGCTGCTGCCGCTTATCCGCCTGATTTATGCAAGGCTATCGCTTCCAGGCTTCACATGTGTGAGGCGGTTGGACTCACGAAGATTGTTTGGTACAACCCTCGGTGTGCGTCACCCTAGTCACTGAGTCGGCTCTGTGAGTCACAAGTGCTGGTGATTACGAGTTCTCTTGGCGAGAGCTTGTGGTTCACTTGGCACCCTTTTCCAATGGTGCATCAGGATGCTATCCTCCCTTCCAGGATGTATGTTGGTGTTTATGTTTCCTTACTGGTTGTTGCTTACAACGCTGTTTACGACGGAAGGGGGGGGATGCATCTTGATAAGTCCGATACTTCGGTATCTTACTTACTCGAGTGCTTTCCACCACAGCCAAAAAGAAGGAGGGGTCCGAGTGCAGTCTCTGTAGTTCGTTCGCGAGACCGGATGAATATTTCATAAATTCATACTTTATATATTATTGATTCTGGAATACATATCCTCGGTTTTCCCTTTTGATATTTGAAAGCTTTGCTTACCGAATATCTGGTCCATTTCCATCGTGGTGTGCCGACGGCTGTTGTGAAATATAAAACTAACATGGTAGCGGAGCACTCCGAAGGAAGTGCGATGATGCTACTGGAGCTAGGAACCACGTGCGTTGCAGCCATGGGAATTCTCCTCATGGTTTGGTTTGCAAGGAACTGCTGCTCTAGCAGGAAGTACGAGTGCGAGGCAGGAACCATCGGCCCTGTCTTCGTGTTAAACATTCTGCCAGGAACAGTAACACAGCTAGTGCAGTACAGTTAATGTACAGGAACAGCCGTCACGCACACGCGACGTGCAGGCTCGAGACCCCAGGACACACCGTGCCCAGGAACAAAAGTGTCCGACAGTCTTTGTGGGTAGGAACCCTTAGGGAAGCCCGTTCTTTAACATGGTAGCGGAGCTGCCTCCAGGAACCTCCTTGGCAGCGATGATGCTACTCGTAGCCATAGGAACCATGATGCTCGGCGCCATGGCAGTTTGCCTCGTTGCCGGATGGAAGCAGCTGCGCGCAAATGAGCAGATCACCAAGAAGACGGAGACAGTGCTCAACATGCCCACGCTCAGGATCGCAGTCCGTTCAGGAACAAAGTACCACCGCAGAGGTTGTGGACACCTTCGCAACCACAACGTGACAGCAGGAAACGCGCGAGACTTTGACGCTTGCAGCGATTGCTACCCCGACCGAGTGTTGGTGGAAGAGAGAGAGAAGAGGAACATGAAGTGCTACGGTTTGGCAGCATGTATGGTGCTGCTGGTTGGTTTCGCACTGGGAAGCCTCGCAACTTTGTGCGGGATGATCTTGGTCCCAGGAGCAAGAAGTATGGCGGTGAGACCGTGGCAGGCCCTTGGCAACAACGTGGAGACCAAGGAAGAACTTGCCCTTGGAGACGTCTTACCCTCCAAGGATGTGAGCCGTGGGAGAAAGGAACTCACTTACGTAGAGAGTGACGAGAGCGAGCTCATGGCAGTGTGGTCGAGCAGAAGGAAGCCCAATACGCACCGGAACCGCTACAGGAACTACGACGTGTACGGCGAGTACTACCAGCAAGTCTACAACGAGTGCAGCGTGAACCCCGACGGCACCAACGTGAACACGATCAGGAACACGAACGCGTACACGATTAAGGACTATGTGGAGATAGGAAAAGACATGGTACCGTACGCTTTGTTGTGCGCGAACCAAGTGATGAACGAGCTCTACAGCGTCGTTAGCGTGACCGGCGAGTACTACACGGAAGAGAACAGGAACGGCAACCAGAACACCGAGAACCAGGAGAGTGAGAGCCTTGAGTCAGGCTACGCCCCTAGGTACCTAGTAAAACAAAAGCGAGAAGTACTGAGGAAATTTGTACAGGAACATGTTCGCAGTTTCGTAGAAAAGCTAGCAACTGTAGGAAAGAAGTTTCACGACGTCGTGCATGTGATAGTTCAGGAAGTCATTTCCAACAGAGTTGTATTTCAAGGAATTCGCATAGCAGTGTTCTTAGGAACCCCAATGGGACTGATTACTTGGATCACCCTGTCGTACTATTCTAGTGTGTTTTTCGCAAGAGCAAGCAACCGCTCAAAGCACCAAAGGAAGACAAGAGGAGAAAGGAGAGCACAAGCAGTGAGCAAGAAGCAGTGCAAGTCACTACTTTTAGCAGCACTAGTGTACAGCAACCTTGAAACAGCAAAAGGAATGGAGGATGCATTGAAGGCACTTGCCGAGATCAATGCACAGACCTTACAAGGAATACAAACACTAGCAGAGGAGATCAGGAACTCAGCAGCTTCAGGAAGTCAAAGAGAAGCAGGACTTACACAAGCATTCCAGGAAACCCTGACAGCAGTTCAGGAACAACAGAAGACAGCACAAACAGCGTTGGCAGACGCCCACACGAACGCAGCAACGACACTGGAGGAGATAGGAGCATCTCTGGAGAAAGCAGTAAAGGAACAAAGAAAGCCTGGAGAAGTGGAGTTGCACAAGCTGATTAAAAGCCCCGAAGCATTTTCCCCAGGAACATGGCAAGAAGAGAAGAGTGGCTGGACAGAGTTCAGGAACAGGATGCGGATCTGGCTTGGAGCAGTGGATTCCAACATGGTGAAGATCATGGACATCGCCGAAAGGAACTTAAAAGATGATAAGCAAGTGAAGATGGCTGAGATGTCTGCAGAAGCAAAGGAAACAAGCAGACGCCTGTACAGTGTTCTTTGTTCATACACTAAAGGAAGGCCGTACCGAGTTGTAAAGCATGTAGCTGAGGAGAACGGTATGGAAGCTTACCGTATGCTACTCAAGGAATATCAACCAACGAATCGTGCGAGATCGTTGGAGTTGTTTCACAACATTCTCAACTACAAATTCGCTCACAACAAAGGAATTGCTGAGAATATCCTCGAATATGAGGAACACATCGAGAAGTACGAGAAGGCTACTGGAGAAAAGGTACAGGAGAATTTGAAAGTATCTACTCTTATTCAAGGTATGAAACCTGACGTGAAAAGGCACTTGTTGCTCAACATGGATGAGAAGACACAGTACAATACTCTTCGTCAGTACCTTGTGAACTATGAGTCAACCGAGCGTTGGACTAACTCTTTGGCAGCCCAGCAAGGAACACCTCACCGAACCACAACAGACTTGATCGACAAAGGTGATGACCATGGTGGTCTTGCAGCAATGGATATCAACCAAGCATGGTACAAAGGAAAGAAAGGCTATGGCAAAGGTTATGTTCACCATAAAGGCAAAGGTAAAGGAAAAGGCAAGAAAGGTGGAAAGGACTTTGGAAAAGGTTACGGCTTTGACAGCAAAGGAAAAGGTAAAGGTAAAGGTTTCGGAGGTTTTGGCAAAGGCAGAGGTCGAGGCAACTGGAAAGGCCGAGGTAGAGGTTTCAGAGGTTACAAAGGAAAAGGCAAAGGTCGAGGAAGAGGTTTATTCAGACACTGTTTATCATTTTGCCTCCTAGGATACCCCATGCATTTTATCATGATTTGCTTTATCGTATTTCATGCACTCATGAGTTTCACACTGAGATTGCGCTATACTCCGCAGGCGTCTTTGAGGATTCAAAACATTTTCATGGTAGCGGAGCTTGGGAAAGCCCAAGCTTCGAGACACGTCTCGGGGCTCTCTTGCACATTGCGTTGCGAAGTGCGTTCGGGGAGCTCAGGCGTTGGAAAGTTTGTCCTGGACCTTTGGGATTTCTGTTTCCGTTTAGGATCTAGGTAGGATCGCAATCCCGGCGCAGACCGGACGAGCCATTGCGTGCTCAGACAGAGCAAGGCCACGGCGTCTCTTGCTGCGGTAGAGGAAGTGAAGGAAAGGTTGCACAGCTTGTACGTTGAGCAGCTTTGTGAACGGCCCCGTCCCGAGGGCAGATCAGGTTCTTCTTGGGATAAGATCTTATCAACTTATAGAGTTGCTTTTGAGCGGAGACTTGAAGAGCTGCATACAGTTGAGTGCGTTTGGAGGTTTGCGACTAAGTGCTTGAAGAAACAACATTTGAGAGAAGTTTTTGAGGCATTCGCACCTGAGGACGTTGCTGAGAATTGCATTTCAGAGGAGTTGCAACAAGCTTCGTTACATCCTGTGGAGGAAGGCCCTAACTTCGAGCGTGATCTTCTTGCTAGCAGTGCTGAATTGCAGGAGCTTTTGAGAGCTAGTGCTGATTGTGAGCTGCCAAGTTCTTCAGCTGAGCCGAAGCGTGCATTCAAGCGCCGATTGCAGCAGCAGGACTCTGTGATTGAGTTGGATTGATTTCCTTGAATTTCTTGATCAGACAAAGAAGAGATGGATCCGCAAGGTCAGAATGTGTATGAGGGGCCGCAGTTGCCCCAGCAGCCGGCAGGCAGTGCCGGTGTTGAGCCGCCAGTGACAGAACCCGTTCTCGCCAGTGGAGCAGGGACAGCAAGCACCACAGCAGTTTGTGCAAATCGACATGACACAGATGCAGTTGCTTATGGCACAGATGGTTGAGACGGCGCAAGCAGCGTCACAGGCTGCTCAGGCAGCCGTTGCAAGGCCTTCGAGCAATTTGACTTCGGGATTTTCGGATGCGAATAAGATTCTTAATCGCCCTTCGGAATTTGGGTCCGGGGTACATGACAACGATCTTGCAAATTGGTCTGAATGGAGCCACTCATTCAGAACGTGGCTGGTTTTCGCTGAAAGCCAGTTTGAGCAGGACCTAAAGCTTGTGGAGGACAACTTGCAGGGCCCTGTTGATCTGACTGGGGCTTCGCCTGATCGCATTGCCAGGTCTCAGAGGCTCTACGCGATTCTTGCAAGCATTCTTCGTTCGAAGCCAAAAGCGATTTTGCGTCAGGTCAGCAACAGAAACGGCCTAGAGGTCTGGCGGGTGCTCACCAATACCTTCGCACCCAAATCGAAATTCAGAGGACTTGCTCTCTTGAATGCTCTTATGACGCTCCCGAGCTTCGGGAAAGATCGCAGCTTGCGGGAACACATCCAAGGCCTCGAGAGAATAGCTGAAGAATATCAAAGGGTCACTGGACATTATCCTGGGGAAGAGGTTATGCTAGGCACACTAGTTCGTTCCCTTCCCTCTGCGATAAAACAACACGTTCAACTTCAGATGACAGACTCC